CTCTTTCTTTGTTTTAAACGAGGCTTTGATGATCCTTGGTCCATGAGATTCCCATCCTATAAGTGCATTTTGTGCTTGTTTGGATAGCATCAGTGCAACGCCTTATGTATGTGGGGCGTTTTCTTCTTCATGACCGGAGTATAACAGGGGCTCCCCTGAAGCTAGTCGTTGTTTTCCAACCTGCGTCCAATGTGTTTCACTGATTCCAATCACCTTCATGTTGTATCTTTTCATTTCTGCAACAACTTGGCTGACTCTCCCGGTGTCCCACATTGTACGAACATTCCATGTACTTAAATAAATGGTTGCTCTGGTTGTCAGAAGGCGCATCGGCTTTGTAACTTCCGAAGGAACTCGACTTTTATCATGAGGCGTCATAGTTTTTCTAAATGAATATTTTTTCCTGGTTAGTGTTTTTTGGCGTGTTAGTTTTCTACGTGGTGGATTCTGTAACCTCACACCCAACCACCTCCTTTATCCGGGCTTGGGACGAGCAGTAGCCCCCGGAGGGACTCCAGGCGGACTTTAAAATATGATAACCACTCATTAAATACTTCATTTGTAAATCTTCCGCCAACTGTCCTTCACTTTCTGTTTGATTCTTCCACCTGATAATTTCTTTCTATTTTCCTCAACTAAATCTCCTTAGCTTTCTGCTGCCAGGTTTCCCATTTCGATTGGTATTACATACTAATTATGTCTGTCGACATAAGTAGTATGCACCACACTATCACTTCCTAGTGAAATCCATAATACAATTTAGCTCTCGGACCATAAATTTACCGCTATTCAATCAAAATTTTGCTGCACAATCAAGAACCATTTATAACTTCTTCTGCCTCTTTTGAGTTAATAACCGCATATTGCAGCAAATACTAACGTGAACGACATTCTAGCTTACTTTGTATATCTGGAGACAATTCAGCATATCTACTAATAGCATCGTCGATTATTTTGGTGTACCTTTCGGATAAACATTCGACCCCCCTAGCCGAACAGGCCATGATATCTATTGACTCCAACAGATACTTAACGGTAGGAAGAATAAATTCATATTAACTGGGAGAACCTTGTAAACGGAAATATTGTGCTTCTATGTACTCAACGGAGCATCCAATGAAACTTGCATATATTTATCAAATAGCTATGTTTTATAACCAGAGAATTCGAACAGCCAATACAAACTATATATCAATTAAGGAAAACTTGAACTCAAGTTACTTTAGACTACTCACACCTGTCAACCCTCGACTGATATAGATCCCCGACCACAACGTTCTCCCAGGTTCCCATGTATCTATGTTAATTGTTGCTCTGGTTGTTAGAAGGAGGACCGGCCTCGTGGTTTCCGAAGAATCTCTGCTTTAACCGTGAGTGGTCATAAGCCTTTTTCTAAATAAAAACCCTTCAACTCCTAGGGCAAGTTCGAATGATTTAAGTGATCTTTTCTGGCTAGCGGTTCGTATTAGTTTTATTTTCTACGGGATAGGGTTGCTAATTCCATGTCCTACCCTCCTCCCTTACCGTGACTTCGAAACGGCTGTAACTCTTGAAGGGTCCAAGGCGGAGTCATAGTGTTAACTGTCCACCTAATCAAATCGTTGTTTGATCGAGCTTTCTTAGTGATATCAAAGTAGAACCTAATGAAACACTTCCCACGCTGCAACATTGTTATCAGCATAGAAAAATTATCTCTGAGTGGGTGGTTAGCTGACGAAATTACACACGTACAAAATGTCGCACAATCAACTTTGAACCTAGCATAAGTATGAGTTGGTCTTATACCGTGTTGGCACGATGAGTTATCTTACACCAGGCAAACATAATAAATAAATAATATATTTGTAATATCCCAATAAGTAGGAAAATTAGGTTTTCTGACGTTTCGTGATGTAGGTTGCTTCTTCAGATAATAAATAACCAAATTAAAACTAATCCAAGTTTAAATAGTACAACGGAACAATAAGAATAATATGCGATCAAAAGCAGGTCTGAACAAGTAATTGTCATGTCATTTCAGTCGTGATTCATAAGTGATATGTATGTAAATTTTTTATGTATGTGTGTATGTAATGTTTAAGGATGAAAAATTGTGTGACATTTATGGTGAGAAAGGGTAGAGTTTAATTTGTAAGATGATAGTGAGAATTGTAAATAAGATCAGACTGAATGGCTAGGATAGATAGTCCAAGTAGGATGTATGGTAAGGCCTTCTTTTCTATTGAGAGAAATAGGATTAAGCATTATATGGAACGCTTCAGCTACTTTCATTTCTTTGCAATTGGAAAAGCCTTCATGCAATATTTTGATATTTTTGAAATCAATTTGGTGATCGTTGAAAATGGCATGAACTGCTATTGCCGATTTAATTTGAAGTTGATCCGATTCTACGGGATTGCTAAGAGGTTTCTCTGTGTACCTATTATGTTCTTTGGCTGTAGTCAAGATTTTGCGAGATGACTCTCCAATATAGAAGGCATCACAATGGACATGAATGGAATTTTTTCTTTTAAGAGAACTAAAGTATTTCGAGGTGTGTTCGTTGTTTTGTAAGATATTTTAATTCTGTGTTGTTTTAAGATTCTTTGGATTTATTCTGTTGTGCCATGACGGTATGATAAAACTGCAGTACCAATCCATGGCATTTCATTCGAATTATTATTATAACGCCCTAAACCGTTTTGTTTTAATATACTTCTGATAATCTTCATAGGAGAACTATTAAATTGTAAGATACTAATTACATTCTTTTTTTGTCTTCTTCTAATGTGATGATCTTGTTAGCTCTTCCGAAAAAATTTTATGCTAGCGAGATCTTAGCACTGAAAGGATGTGCTGAATGGAAGTCAATATTAGCGATTAGAGTATGTAGGCTGTCGGTAGATGGATAGATTTAGAATTCCATTTAGATTTCTTTTCACTAAACAATCTAAGAATGGTAGCTCACCATGTTCACTTTCATTCGTAAATTTGATGTGAGATGAAAGTGTATTTATCCGTTTTGAAAAGATCTTAGATGAGTACTTTTTTTATAACCACAAATGTATCATCTACATATCTAAGCCAAATTCGTGGTGTAACGTCGTGGGCGAAGATATTTGATTCTAAGTGTGCCATAAAAGGATTGTCTACAATCGGGGACACGGGGGATTCCATTGCTATACCGTTAGTTTGCTTGTATAACATCCCGTTAAAAGTGAATAGAGTCGAATTTAAGCCGAGTTTTAAGGATCTCACGATTAGACTGATGCTCAAAGGGCATCTGTCAGAAAGAGTATTGCCGTTCTCTAGTAAACCACTAACGAATTCTAAGCATTTATCAATGGGAATAGTAATGTATAGAGAAACGAGATCAAAGCTTACCATGACCCCATTCTTCTCGATAATTAATTCCGACAATTTTGATTTAAAGTCATATGTACCTTTAATAATTATGTAACTTAAGCTGTTGTTGTTTTAATATGTTGCTTAGATATTTCGATAACTCATATGTCGGTGTGTTGGTAAAGTCTACTATCGGTCTTAGAGGGATATCTGGTTTATGAATTTTCGGTAAATCATAAAACCGTGAAACATTACATGATTTGGGATGCAGAGCAAACCAATGACTGGTTTTAGCTCTTTCAAAAGTTGACGTGCTTTTGATTTGACTTGATTTTTAATCGTTAGAGAATTTTTCGGATTGATGTTTTCATATGGTTCTGTTGAGAGATGTTCAAGAGCTTTATTAATATAATCTGTTTTATTCATGACTACTGTTATGTTGCCTTTGTCGGCTTTCGTGATGATAATCGTCTTATCTTTTTGAAGGGAATGTAGAGCCTTCAACTCTTCTTTTGAAATGATTGGTGTAATGTGTTTTTTAGTCAAAATATGGGATGTCTTTTGACGTAATAAATGCGACTGTTTTTCCGGTAGTTGTGCGACTATTGGTTCTATAATTGGAGCAATTTCAAGAGTACTAGGTGGTTTTCCATGTAAATTGAAATTTAATCCTTTCTCCAGTAGAGTGATTTCATGACTGGTTAAGTTTCTGTCCGAGAGATTATGAACAATTCTTCTTAGATCATTCGAATGAGATTTTAATGCTGATGTTTTATCTTTCTTCCTTTCTTTGATGTTCTCGAATTTTTTAATTTGCTGGTGTTTCGATGAATTTAAATAAAGAAGTTAGGAATCATGGTCTTTAATTCAATAGGAATTGAAAGCTTCTGTAGATCATTAATGTTTTTGATTCGTTCACGATATTTTTCAAGTAAACATGTGCATTTGTGAATGCGTTCTCGTAAAAATATTCGAGAAGTGCGTTGAGAAGTCTGGATAGATCTCCAGGACAGTTCTGGAGGTTTCACAAAAAGAGATTTCGGGATAATGTCTTGTAAGCATCGTTTATTAAATATTCTGTGATTGTACCAATCGCATTTACACTTGGATAATTGAAGTTGAATTATTGGGTCAAGTTTCGTAGGTCAGCCTGTAAAACCAAGGCTTGATTATTAGGTTTACATGTTTGTCACCCGTCGTTGTTCCGTGATAAGTTTAAAGCAATGTTGTTGTGATTACAAACGGGTTATCAGGAAAGTTTTTAATGTTCTATCGAACGCTTTCGGCCACTTTACTGTTTATTAATTGTGTATGCTACATATTAGAGTTTCATTCCCATAAGGGATTTTATCTCTAGGCCTAATGTTTGCTATATTTGGGCATCTCATCTGGCATGGCGAGCTGTACTATAGTAACATGTTCATAACTAGAAAGTTCTTGATAACGCCAGATTCCTGGAATAAAATCTTCACATCCCAGTAATCATCCATCAAATGAATGGAAAAATGACCAAAATTATTTGGTATAACGATCCGATTGAGCATTGAAAACTCCCGGCACCCTCAGCTTTGTTATTCTTGTTTTGAAAGTAAACGTTAATTTAAGTTTTAGAAAATATCAGACGTAAGTGCATGAAAGAAGTAATTATAACCATTTCGTATGTTTATTTTTTGTAGCTGACAAAAGATGAACTCGAAACATGTGAAATCTCTTTGCAACCCAGTAGTTCACAAAAAGCAAGTCGAAGACGACGTAAACGCTAGAATCTTTTCTACATAGATGTCTACTAAAGAGGAAATGCTGTTAGATGAATGATATAATCTTATTACATTTGACAGTATTATATATCTTCACTTTTTCTAATCTAATTGTCAATTCACTCAATCATTGATTTAGAAAAATTTATATGTGTATATTGTTATTAATTTATGGAAGGTAATATCTAATTCTACTGTCTGCTCTCTTATTCCAAATTGTACAACCTTTTTTCTTCATATGTTTCGTCTTTGTTTTAACTTAATAAATCCTAATTGTTTTATGACTTCTATTAAACTTCAAAATATAAATAATCATAAAATTAAAATAGATTTTGCAAATCATGTCTCTAATTTACTTACAAATGTTAACTAAACAATAATCAGTGTTGTACGAATAAAATGTATTTTCGCTGTATATTGTATTTCTTCATTCAGAGTTTTATTGGTGTGTACTGTCGATAACGGAAGTAATACATCTAAACATAGATTCAGCTTACCGATGACTAATTTCTAATAATAATTAAGACAACTGTTAGATTTAATGTATTTTGGTTTTTTGAAATTCCGATTAGTCACTTGAGGTTATTATTCCGAATGCACTTCAATGTAGAGTTCGAAGTATCACTGATATATAAAGTTTACTAAAATAGTTTATCACAAAACAATCCGATCATTACTCTTGCACCTCTGAGTTAGCGGTTCCGATCCCGCCCCGCGCGTCATTAAGTATACGCCTCTTGATAAGAATAAATGATGCAAACTCCTTTCGCATGGTCATGACGTTTTTCCAGTAGTCTGTTTGCTAGAAATAAACTATTACATCACAGTTTCATTTTGATACTCAGCTACGAATAATTTTTTTAATGGGTGAGGGGTTTTACACTGTGGACCAGGAACCTTACTGGTTTTAAATGATTATCTATCAAAAATCAGTTCCTGATGATAAACTGTAAATTTTCTTCATGAGTGAGAAAAGCAAATATATTAATATATAAATTATTGATCATATTGTAGGAAAAATACACAAGATTTAGTCTCATCCAGAAAACACAGCATCAGTAATTAAATAGTTATTTATTGGTTTCTCATCACGAAATACTGACTGAGAATCATTTTTCTGTGTTAGAAAAACAAACCGTTTCACACACAAAACAGAAAAAGGAATCATCGGAAGTGGAGAAACGATTAAATGAAACAGTTATTCTTTGTTCTTAGTTTTTTTGTGTGAGCAAAATAGATGGGTACTTAAGATTTAAACAAGCTAATTGAAGAACAGGTATTAAAAGATTTGATGCATTTTTTAAATAATTTTGTGCATTACTGCATTCTAACAATAAATTTGAAATGTATTGACTTTTTGATAGTTGGGTCGTGATAGTGGTAGCAACGTTAGAATTTGACCCTTCTTGTTCAAATACTTCTGTTGAATTTTTCGCATGTAACTACAAAAATATACACATGGAGAGAAGATAGAAAAATTTAAATTAACTGCAGAACGAAGATCCAGTATAGACTCTATACTGTTGAATACTTCGAGGTAGTCAACAGGAAATTCTAAGTGATCTATGTTTCGTAAGTCAGAAAAGCATACATCCATTCAGGAGGAAATTGGAGCTTCCTGAGGGATTCAAACCGATATCACCCAGCTTCATAGTCTAAAAGGTTGCCATTGAGCTATTCGGACAGCAACTGAGCTGCAGGACTGAGATAACCACTTTGACCGACCACAGATTAGCGTAAACAAAGTGCACTTGTTGTTGAGTCAATTAGAATGCTGGCCATATTGACACATGATTGATATAATTGAATCAGCACCAAAGATTGGATAAAAGTGACACCAGTTACCACTTAGTAATCAATCAGAACAAGGCCTAGACACAAACATGCCATGTGTGAAAAATCAATTTTATTGGAAAGACTATAAGTCACTACTCATAGTTAGCATCCGGAATTCATAGGACGGAGTACACTGCAAAGTCGTGCATAGGGGACAGCTGACAGATGCATTCCAAGTGAGGATCGGAGTAATATAAAGATGTTTACTCTCTCCCTCTATTTTCTAGTGTTTCAACTGGACATGTAAGAGGAAAATGAGATACAATGGACAGTTCAGAATCAGTTAGAAGATTCGGATTTCGCAGATGACCTTGCCCTCCTATACCATACACACGAACAAATGTAGATGAAGAAAACTAGTGAGCAGAAGTCTCTGAATCAGTAGGCCATGACATACACTAAGGAAAAAGCAAGATCCTCAAATACAACACGAGAATACCAACACAATTACACGATGGCGAAAATCTGGAAGATAAGGAATCCTTCACGTACCTGCGAAGCATCATCGATGAACAAGGAGGATCCAATGTAGATGTAAAGGTACGGATTGGAAGAGCAAGGGTAGCATTCATACAGTTGAAGAACATATGGAACTCAAAACAACTGTCAACCAATATCAAACTCACAATCATCAATACGAACATCAGGACAGATCTACTGCACGAAGCTGAAACTTCGAGAACTACCACAACCATCATCGAAAAGGTACAAATATTTATAAACAGTTGTCTACGCAAGATACTCAATGTCCGTTGGTCGGATACCATAAGCAACAGCCTACTGTGGGAGGGAACAAACCGGTTTCCATCTGGACTTGGGAAAAGACGATGGAAGTGGATAAAACATGCGGACAGTGACCAGAAATCTTTCTCGTGGAACATCCGAATTCAAGCTTCTCAGTCAGAAAAATACGTCAACCCCCGAATGCCCTGGTACGGCCGAGAGTGGGGAGAGTCCGCTCTCCCTCTCGAAATACTCTCACACGGTCACGCGCATACAGCCTCTGCCAGGGAAGTACTACTCACTGATTTCTCGTGGCCGGGGTGTTGTTTACGAAAATGAGAGGACGAAAAGTGAATGTCCAGCGCTTTAACCGGATCACAAATCAATGGTGCACATGGGCTTTAGTATCCTGCGGGAAAAATAGCGTATGAACCAATCGTTGGTCGCCGGCTATCATGGGATTGCATCTCCTTACGATGCTACACTGCCTTGTGGGTTAGACCTTCAGGTCGAAGGCTCGGGGAGTGGCCCCATAAGATGACCACCTGCTTCGGTTCGGGCACCCGGGCAGTATCACAGCCCACACACAAATTGATGAACTCTCTATGCCTATGGAAATTACCTTTCTCGCTTCAAAAAACAAGCAATTGATTCAGATTATTATCGTTACAATTATTGTCATTATTAATACTATTATTATTATTATTATTATTATTATTATTATTATTATTATTATTATTATTTGCTACGTCATTATTCACCCTCTTTTATACTTATACAGCGGCTCGTCTTTGGTGGAAATTCGACTGTATCTAAACGTTCTCGAGTCAGTGTCCGGTTGAAAATTGTATGTTACCACCGAATACGAGGACTGAAGCAGCTTTTCTGAAACCACATGCACCATTCAAACTGGCTGCCTTCAATGTTCGCACATTTATGCAGGTCGGACAACAGATAGGGCTGGCTATGTCTTTAGAAAGTCTTAATATTGATGTTTGTTGTCTATCCGAGACCCGTATTCAAGACTTTGGCGAAGTACTACAAATTCGATCTCCATCTGTCGCTTCAAAAGTCTTGTTTTACATGCGCTTATCCAGAGATCCTGTGGCATCTTCGTCTGGTCTCGCTGGCATTGGCGTCCCACTAAGTGCTAGAGCTGAGGGAGAACTAATCGATTGGATCCCCATTAACAGTCGGTTATGTGTTGTTAGATTAGAAAGTTCCATCAAAGTGAGAAATCGGCGTGAGAAACGATGTCTTTCTGTCATCTCCGCGTTCGCCCCGACAGATTGCAGCCCGGATGCAATCAAGGGTGAGTTTTACCACCAATTGTCTGTTCTTCTCCAGAAAGTGCGTTCGACAGATATTGTAGTACTAACCGGAGACTTGAATGCTCAGATCGGGCGTCTAGGCACAGAAGAGAGTCGTTTAGGTGGCCGATGGGGACTCGTTGGTCGCAGGTCAGATAACGGGGACCGTCTACTGCGACTTTGCACAGACCACAACCTGTTTCTGGCTAGCACTAACCTTCGGCACAGTCATCGCCGATGTGCCACCTGGCGTCCTCCTTCTGCATCTCAAGCCTGGACTCAGATTGATCACATCGCGACCAGCTACCGCTGGCGTGGTTGCGTACAAGATTGCCGCTCCTCCTGGAGTACCTATCTGGACTCTGACCATGCCTTGGTCTGTGCCAATCTTACCTTACTTTTCAGTGGACAACGAAGTGACCGCCACCAATGGATTGATATTAGCAAGCTGGTTGCAACTTCTGCTGCAAGTAAGTATCGAACCGAGCATTGGTTGCAATTGCATGACGCCATGAAAATGGCGGGTAAAGTCACTTGTGGGTTCGTGAAACGTCCGCTTACAAGCACTGTGTTTCTTCAGGCTCCTTACAACTCATCTAAACCCGTCGGTCTGCTCCAGGTGACCGTGAGTTTGACCACAAACAAAAGATGTTACGTAAGGAAATCGGGCAAAGCTTGCTTCGGGAACGAGAAGCCTGGTGGTCGGGGCGTGATAATGAGCTGGAAGCAGCGGCTGCATCTGATAACTACCGGAAGCTCTTCCAACTCATTCGAGGCACTGGCAGCAAGAAGTCTGGTGTCAGTTAAAACAATCTGCGAGGATGAAGGGATGCCAACCACTAACATCCATCGACGTCTTGGACGATGGGCAGAATTTTTCGAAAGGCAGTTCAACTGGCCTGCTGCTCCGGCAACATCGGTCAGACTGTCCTGCCCTCCATGGCCGGTGACGACTAATCCACCAAACGAGGAGGAAGTCCGCAAGGAACTCCAACTCTTGAAGCGTTACAAATCACCGGGCCCAGATGACTTACCTCCGGCTCTTTTTAAAGATGGTGGTGACTTTCTGACTAAGGAACTGACGACGTTGTTTACAAAAGTCTGGGAACTAGAGAGTGTACCAACGTCATGGAATGAGTCGATAATTGTCCCTGTCTTTAAAAAGGTTTCACGTCGTTCCTGTAACAACTATCGGGAGATAAGTCTACTTCCGATTGCGTCCAAGCTATTGGCTTCCGTCATACTTCGTAGGTTGTTCAAAACCCGGGGAAGATTGACTCGCGAGGAGCAGGCTGGGTTTCGTTCTGGTCAAGGATGTATTGATCATATCTTCACCCTCCACCAAATGTTAGAACACCGTCATACTTATCAAAGGCCAACAATCGTAGTGTTTCTTGACATCAGGGCTGCCTTCGATTCGTTGGACGGGACTGTTCTCTCCGATTGTCTATTGAAGGGTGTGCCTGAGAAGTTTATTAACATCCTAAAAGCCCTATATACAAACACCTCAGGTAGAGTGAGGGCATAAAACCACCTTTCTCCATTGTTTCATTCGAGCAGTGGGGTTAGGCAGGGTTGCCCAATCTAACCATTCCTCTTCAACTTTGCCATCGACGACATTCTGGAAACAGCTCTGATGGATGTAAGTAATGGTGGTGTGGATCTGTTGCCTGGAGAAAGACTTCTCGACCTTGAGTATGCGGATGATATTGTCTTACTGTGCGATAATGCCCAAGCCATGAAATCCGCACTTAATCAGTTGGCAATCTTTGTTCGTAGGTATGGTATGTACTTTGCACCTTCGAAGTGCAAAGTACTTCTACAAGACTGGCAGGATTCTAATCCTGTACTCACTCTGGATGGTGAGCAGATAGAAGTAGTCGAGAAGTTCGTGTATCTGGGTAGCTGCATAAGTGCTGTTGGGGGTGTGAGTGATGAGATCAATGCACGTATAGTGAAAGCCAGAGCGGCTTATGCCAACCTGGGCCACCTTTGGCGCCTTCGTGATGTTAGTCTGGCTGCAAAAGGTCGGATCTACAACGCGTCGGTGAGAGCAGTTTCGCTCTATGCTCGTGAAACCTGGCCTCTCCGAGTTGAGGACGTTAGACGACTCTCTGTGTTCGATCATCGCTGTCTCCGAAGGATTGCTGACATCAAGTGGCAACACCATGTCAGTGATGCAGAGGTTCGGTATCGTGTGTTCGGGCACAGAGACGATAATGCAATCGGTGTCACCATCTTGAAACACCGACTTCGGTGGCTTGGACATGTTCTACGAATGTCGTCCCTGAGATTTCCACGTCGTGCATTATTTGCCGACTCTGGGACTGGCTGGAAGAAGCGTAGAGGTGGTCAGTGCATGACATGGTGTCGTGGTATGAAAGAAAGCTGCAAAGGGCTGGCTTGTGTTGGTCCTTCACGACTCCCTAGCTGGGGTCCGAGAAATGGTGCGACACATTGGCTAGAGACGTTATCAGATATGGCTCAGAATAGAAGCCAGTGGCGATCCTGCTGTAATCTTCTTTTACTTTCTTCATAAAAAAGTGGTTGTGTCTCCCTTACCTGAAAGATTTCTTCCGATTTTACCTTTTCGTTCCCTCATTACTACCACACTACCTTACACCAATCTCTTCGTTATTGTTCTCTTTTTTTTCTATTTTTCTTCGAATTCTCATTGTTTTGTGTGGCGCATATATATTGACGCTGTCTTGTACCAATATTTATGTGTTCAAATAAATAAATAAACTGTACGAAGCTGAAACTTCGAGAACTACCACAACCATCATCGAAAAGGTACAAATATTTATAAACAGTTGTCTACGCAAGATACTCAATGTCCGTTGGTCGGATACCATAAGCAACAGCCTACTGTGGGAGGGAACAAACCGGTTTCCATCTGGACTTGGGAAAAGACGATGGAAGTGGATAAAACATGCGGACAGTGACCAGAAATCTTTCTCGTGGAACATCCGAATTCAAGCTTCTCAGTCAGAAAAATACGTCAACCATTTAGTCGTTTCGGGCTTCCAAAATTAAGAGTTAGCGACAATGAAATACAGTTTACGTTCTCTATCTTCTACGGATTTTGTCAGCGGAATGAAATCAATCGTGTCCGAACACCTCAGATAATTAATGGGGTCTCTCCAGCAGAAGCATTACTTGTCAGAAAAATACAGACACATTTCGACTTTATTCGTCCAACGCCAGCTCTTGAGCCTCAACGAAACATATCGATGGAAAAACAGTTCAATCGACATCATGGGGCACAAAGACAATTGTTCACTATGAGTCAAAAAGCACTTGCTATGAACTGTCGTGGCAAACATCCTACATGGATGGTTGACCGAATAGTACAAAAGAGAGAAAGTGTGGTTTACGAGGTGTCAGTTGGTTCAGAGGTTTGGATGCGTCATGCTAACCAACTGAAAGCAACTTTGATCCCCAGAAATGAGACCTGACACAGAACGCCTCTTGATGTTTTGCTGGACACCTTTGAAACCAAAACCCCTGGGACAGATTGACCAGTCTTTGAGCAAGCAGAGTGATACCACTTCTTTATTGCCTAGAAGGTGGACAAATCGAAAGCACACACCAGCCACGTGGTTGCAGGGCGACCCTATCCTACGAATCTGTCCACACGAGAGGTGTTGACGAGATATAGATTGGATTAAAATGTTTCGTGTATAATTGTGTCGAGGCACTCTGATTGGCCATTTCTTAACCAATCGGCGCTAGCGGATACTTGGAGAGGACTAGAGAATCTTCTTATGCGAAAATTCTAAGTATACTGACTTTTTTATTGCGATTCCTACTTCCATCGACCCTTTTTATTTGGAATGTGACTACGTTTCTGTTCAACCGTGTTCTAATTTGGGGGACTTGTCGAGTAAAGTAGTGTCCAAGAGTAGCTGGGCTGTAATAAGAGACAACATAACACCAACCCTCCCGCTCCTCTACCGACACTTGAGACTGGCAGTAACCTCTGGAGGGCTTCAGGTGAATTTAACCTTGCATGTGCCTGAAGGAGATCGGCAGGATTCTCTCACTTGAAGTAGATTTCTTATTAATTGGTGCATGACAAGGAGCATCTGGAAACTGTAAAAAAGTGATTTCTGTGAGATTAAAACGTACGTTGACACTACTGTCACAATCAGAGACATTACTGTTGAGCTATTCAGGTAACGGTGGCCGTCAAATAGACGTGATATAGTAATAATAAACGATACTCGGTACATGCGATTAGTGGCTTAACTCATTTTAATCGACAGATTACACTTCAAAATTCAGTGATAAAGTATAAAATTCTGAAAAGTATGGTACATACAAGGGATGAAGACCATCTAACTTACACTTTTTATATTTCTAATGAATTCTTGAGAAAGGCAAGCTTGAGCTTCAACAGAGATTCGGAAGAAGCTATTATTAATACAAAAAGTAAAGATAAAGGAATTAAATGCAGACAAATGGGTAAATAAAGATCATCATTATTATCACTCTTATTACTTAACATTTATTTCCGAAATTTGCATTTTTAATATACAGATTCGATATTTATTACGTAGCAGGCTCAAATTGTAATCACACTACATCTGATACTCGGTGATACTATCCAGTAGCCTAGATTAAAGTGGAATTTAATTTGAACCTGAGTGACTCACTAACTAAGCTACAGCTCGACATAAAGTAATTACAGTGACTCCAAATAATGTATAATGATGGTAAGTACACACTCTCTTCAACACCTAAAATTACTGCACAATTGTGTGTAATTGAGATGTTAAGCGGCTTTTTTTGTCATGTAAAAGATGTACATATCCATAGATAATTAACTAGTTCGCCTTGACAATAAAAAGCAGAACAAGTAAATGAACAGAACTAAATTCTTATGAAAACCTTATGTTAGCAAATGAGTAATACTAAAATTAGAAGCCCATCACATCAATAAATTTAACATCTAATTAAATTTCTTATTTTCTGCCTAGACATAATAATGTAGTTCAGCAAAGATTTACTTAATAGTCATCATACTACAATTTTTCAATTAAAGCTATTGTAGTACTTACTAATTGTTTGCACACAATGAAGATTACAGTGATCTAAGTATATTGTGAAAAGGCAAAGTAATTTAATCATACTTAATAATTACTCCATTTACATCGATTTATTGGGAAATACTGACTATTGGATTCACAATCATCTCATCAGCTAACTATAATTGTTCTTCACTTTCTGTCTGACCCTAAACGTTTTACATTATTGCTGGTGTTAGTCGGTGATGAGAACTGAATGTGGTGATAGTCCTAACTCATAACAGTACCCCAACTACTACTCTGCAAAACCTAACTGTCTTCTTTTAATGAAAAGAATAATTCGACATGTGAGGGTTGATTATTGAAATCGAAGCTCTTATTCAATTGTTATAATACTGCTTTTTGCCATTAATTCTTTCGTAACTAGGCAGTGTTTCCTGATTGGCTGATAGGTTGCTCAAGGTCGTCAGTACATTATAGTTTTATCGTTTATAGATTAAATAAACAAACTTACCAAGCTAAGATTTGTGATAATTCTACAAAATCTATATCAGTATTATGTACGTGAACTAAAATACACTCAGAGAATTTATGTAAATATTCTAAATAGGCCGAAGTGAATTGTGCCAATGAAGAAATGGATTGAAAGTAAATTTCCTGTAAGGAATAACAACAGAACAGGAACAATTAATCAACATAAATTTTAGTAAAAGGTTTCAACAATATATTTCATCAAGTATAGACGCTTACACGTACAGGTATTCGAGTACAAGATTTAATGTGTAGCACGATAGCTTAGTATAGTTAAACCAATTGATTTTCTATCGCGGAGTTCTAAGTTCAAATGCCGTCCCATCAAAATCGGTTCAGACAGTCAGAGACAGACAAAGCTGACTCAAAGTATAGCACGCAAATTTGTACTGGTTAAAAGAACCATGTTAAACTACCTTACAAGCGTAGGTAAAAGACTAAGAACTACGAAAAAAAATAAACCTACTAACAAGACTTAAGAGAAGTGAGATATTTTGTATTTGATACGAAAAGATACACCTATTTTCCCACTAAATAACAGATATTAGTAGTTAAGTTATATATATAGTACTAACAGTTATATTATAAGCATAATTAAGTGTCATCCACTACACTTAGAGCTCTCAAATATTGTGAAAATATTCACTCAAAATTGGGCAAAAGTTCTTACAATGATAATTTATTGTTGTTGAAAAAAAATCAGGAAAATAAAATGATTTATCTTTCCAACAAAACAAATTATGAAATTATAGTATATTAAAATGAAACACGGTAGAAGCTGTGGAATTCTTAATTGGCATAACTCTCATTAATAGTTCGACTTTCTGTAATATTGTAGTGAACGAGAACACAAGTATTTGAATACAAATTACAGAAAATCTTGGTAAAATCTGAGAACCATACAGTAAATACTTCATTTGCAAAATGTCAATCAATTGTTTCAAACTTTATTGTTCCTATTCAAATTAAAAGCTTTTTCAATTTTAATGCATAACTTCATTTTTCATGATCTGTCTTAATAATGTGATTGCTTAATTTATTTGGACCGGTTTTATTAATTACATATTGTTAATGTTAGGTCTGTTACTTTTATGTCAGCGGAATCCGACAAGTAGTAAGAACAAAAATACTTATGGATTTATTTCATCTCGGAAACAAATCAAACTGATATTTGTATATACTGCTTTTTATACGATTTATTCACAGCTATCTTAAGATTCGAATTTGCATAATTTGAACTCAGTGCTGCTTGACATCGATTAATCATTAACCTGCTATGTGAACATATATTTGTAATAGTCAGTCAGTCAGTCAGCTACAACGTAGGACCAGGCACATATGTGCATCGGTCCAGGTTGCCATACCTCATTAGCACAGCAAGATGAACACCGGATTCATAGCAGTGGTTAGGTCAAAGGTTGCAATAAGGATATAGTATAGGAAGAAAGAATTAGTTCGTAGACAGAAAGAATAAAGTGATTTTAGTCTCTTAGTTTAAGGGAAGACAGGGAGTGTATACACCGACGCCATTGTGATCGATTCTGAGCCATGTCACCAAGAGTCTCCAACCATTGGTTACGAAAGTCACGCGGTCCCCAACCAAGTAGTCTGCATCTACCAACATGGCTCAGACTAGAAGTTAGTGACTTCAGGCACTGATGCCAAGTTTTGGTTTGGCCACCATGTTTCGCTGCCGTAAAGTAAAACAAAACGGACTGCCGCGCAGTATACTCGTCCTTTTATTGATAGACGGATATCTCGACTTCGCCAAAGGTGACGTAATTTGGCGAAAGCCAAACGAGCTTTCTGAATCCGTACAGAGATGTCGTCAGACACCAACCCATTAGGGCAGATCAGACTTCCAAGATAAGTGAAGTTGTCAACGCGTTCAACTACTTCACTCCCTATCCTTAGTTCAGGTGTTGACGGAGACCAGTCCTGAAGCAACAACTTGCATTTAGAGGGAGAGAAGCGCATTCCAAACATTCTGGCATTGTTGCTTAGTGCTACCAGAAGACTCTGCATTTTATCAGCTTTCTGAATCCGTGCAGAGATGTCGTCAGACACCAACCCATTAGGGCAGATCAGACTTCCAAGATAAGTGAAGTTGTCAACGCGTTCAACTACTTCACTCCCTATCCTTAGTTCAGGTGTTGACGGAGACCAGTCCTGAAGCAACAACTTGCATTTAGAGGGAGAGAAGCGCATTCCAAACATTCTGGCATTGTTGCTTAGTGCTACCAGAAGACTCTGCATTTTGTCAGCGTCTTCACCAAACAGGACTATGTCATCTGCGTATTCTAAGTCGATAAGTGGACCTCCTGGAAGGAGATCAATACCCGAGAATTCAGTCGACGAGAGTGTTATTTCCATCAATAGGTCTATGATGAAGTTAAACAAAAATGGAGATAGTGGACTGCTTTGTCAGACACTGTTTGGGATTGCAAAATCAGATGACAGTTTGCCATAAGCTCTGACTCGACTAGTAGTGTTCAAGTAAAGAGCCTTCACAAGGTTTATGCACTTCTGAGGTACGCCTTTCAATGACAGACACAGCCACAGAACCTCTCGGCCTACAGAATCAAGTGCTGCCTTTAAGTCAAGAAATACCACCATCGTCGGACGCCGATAGGTATGCCTGTGTTCTAGAACCTGACGAATGGTGAATATGTGGTCGATGCAGCCACGACCAGGTCTAAAGCCAGCTTGGTTCTCTCGGGTTTGTAGTTCACGAGTCTTAGTTAGGCGTTTGATAATTATCGAGGCCAGTATTTTAGATACTATGTTTGTTAAACTAATCCCTCTGTGGTTGTCACAGGATGATTTTGACCCTTTCTTATATATTGGGACGATAAGTGATTGCGACCAGTCAGATGGGATAAAGTCTAATTACCAGATCTTAGCTAAAATATTAGTCAACTTAATCGCTAAAATTGGACCACCATCCTTAAAGACCTCTGGAGCCAATCCATCTGAACCAGCTGCCCTTCCTCGTTTCAGATTAACTATAGCTTTCTCAACTTCAGCAAGAGTTGGGGGACCTACTTCAATGTTCCGTTCACACTGTCTGGGAATGGAGGGTAGTTGTAGGGTAGCTAAAGGCCAGCTGAACTGTTCCCTAAAGTGTTCCGCCCATCGTTCTAAACGCCTGGACTTGGAGCAGATGAGTGTATCGTCTTTTTCGGATATAATCTCACTTACACTTGACTAATTAATTCCAGTTTCTTTTAATAGTCTGTAAAGCTGTCTTGTGTTCCCTATAGTCGCAGCCTTTTCCATCTCTTTTGCTTTCGATGCCCACCACTGTTCACGGTCGTTCTTTAGACTTTTTCTTAACCTAGATCTGATTTGTTTTCGCTCTTCATCATGTTCAGAACCTGATGGGACGAGTTTGCGAGAATCCAGCAGTGTGACAGACCTTGAAGAAATCCACTAGTTCCTTGCAACTCTGTGGTTTAAGTCACTAATAGATGTCACTGCTGTTTCCACAGCTGATTGTATGCCTTTCCAAGCAACATCTGGGTCAGCCTCGTCTTCACAACTATCTAAGTGTGACCTTAGTTGTTCCTGGAACTTACTTTTGTTTTCTCGTTACTCAACTCAGTTCTAACGGGTCTTTTTACTGTGGCTTTTTTGCGTCCAGTGAGGCGCAAGCAGAGGCGTGCCCGTATTAGGGCGTGGTCGGAGTCCAAGCAGGTACTCCAGAATGAGCGACAATCTTGTACCGACCCTCTCCAACGATGACTGATGGCAATATGGTCTATTTGAGTCCATCGTTGGTTTGGTGTAGGGGGTCGCCATGTTAGACGATGTCTCTCCTTATGCTTAAAATTTGTGTTTGCTAAAAATAAACGATTGTCTGAGCATAGCTGCAGCAGACGATCACTATTATCTGTTCGCTGTGTCGGAATACTAAAATATCCACCTAAATGCCTTTCTGTTTGGTTTAAACTGCCTATCTGAGCATTAAAATGACCTGCTACGAGTACTCTGTCTGAGCGTTTAGCTTTCTGAAGAAGTTCGGACAGCTTTCTGTAAAATTCATCTTTCACATCATCTGAGCTGCAGTCAGTGGGAGCGTAGGCAGAAACGACAAAAAGGCAACGACGTGTGTCCCTATCCTTCCGAGTTCTTACGTAGCCGTTCAGCCGAACAGCACATAGACGACTGTTGACGGGGATCCACTCTAGCAGTGCTTGTTCGGCCCTCATGCTTAGTGCTATGCCTACTCCTGCCAGTCCACGAGAACTTAACATCGGGTCACCAGATATACGGAGGATGTAACTCGTTGGCTCTCCGTTTTGCCGAGGTGAGGTCAAGTGAATGACCACACTGGAATCCTGTATGCGTGTTTCGGAGACACAGCACACGTCAATGGTAAGAGACTCTAGGGTTTTAGCCAAGGAAGCCTGCTGACCGATTTGACATAGGGTTCGTACGTTGAAGGCTCCAATGTGTAGTTTGTAGCGAGGTTTCAGTAGACCTGGGACAGTATTTTGCGCACTAGAATCGTTGGCTATGGTGAGGTGGAAGCCGAGAGAGGAAATTTAAAGTTGAAAGTCGATGTAGGAGGAATAATAGGAATTGAAGAGGAAGGTTGATTATGAATACAGTGGTCTTGAGTGCTGTTAGAGGTATGAGGGCCGTTATCACTTCCCGGTTGCCCACACCGTGGAAGTGTTCTTCTGGAGGTACCTGAAAAGGAAATTGGATTAGAGGTGGTCTTAGTGACCTGACAGCGTGACCGCAGTGCCTAAGGGACAACTGCTTGAGGTCGGTCACACACGACCTTTGTATGGGTAATTTTTGTGTTAGCTCCGTACTTATTGAGACATTATCGCCGGAGACGGATATCCGTGGGATAAGGCGAGGTGTGCATTTTTAGGGTCGACCTTTTCTAACCCCACCCCTTCTTGTGGGAAGGCAGCATCGCTGTCATGCTGGTTGTCTGAAGGAAACACCATACTGCTGTCACACCTCTGTACAGTCAGCAGTACGACTTCGCTTTCGGACCTTGGGTTTGTTGCTTTTAGTATTACCGCTCTTCAACCGACCTGTCTGACATGGTAGGACCTTGAGGAACGGTCGTTCCAGCCAGTATAGCTCGGTTGCTTCATCACGATAGGCAAGCCCAACCACCACGTCAAGGGCCGACCAATGCTCAAAATGACATAATCTTGCTCTTTTGATTCCATCATATCAATTAATTTTACAAATAACTCTAAAAATTTACATTCAATTGCTTAATTAATTCTGATTCTCAAGTAACGAGTTGATATAATAAAAATCGATAGTGTAACCTTATCTTTAGATCTTATTTTACATCGGTTGAGTTGCTGACTACTATTTTAGATAAAATATTAAGACTGATTAAGGTAGATTGACTAACCACTATCTATTTGATAGTGATTTTATTCTTAACTGCAAATATTATATTATTAGTATAAAGTCTTGACGAGGAACTACTTTAAGAAAGAAATATTTATTTGCTCAACTAGTATTTTCAATGTCGTAATCGGAATATATATATATATATATATATATATATATATATGCTCTTACTTCAGTCGATAACTTTTCCGACTTATCGAAGTCGCACATTTTCCAAACATTAGTTATAGCCTGTGAAAAATATAAAAGCACGTTAATTATTTAAGCAAGAATATAAAGTTTGTTTCAAATCAGTGTAATAAATAAACTTCAGAGCACATCATGATTACGCCGTATTACTTGATCTAATGTAAATCATCGGTGAAATATACCTTTGTGTATAAGGCTGTGGAACTAGAACACCTGTAAGTAATGGGCGTATTGTTTGAAGTAGGGATATACCACTTGCCTACGTGCCCCCATTAAATGACCGTGTATGGTAGAAAATGAGAGTTTGCTATTAATCTATCTTATCTGGCTAGAGTTATAAATGCTTATTGATTAACTTCGTATGTATTCTGAAATCTAAATCACTGGAGATAATTATCGTTACTTCCTCACGAGATTTTCGAAACCAGGTACACAAAAAGATTGAAGTTACTTTAGCACGGCTGAAAAATTTACTGGTTTTGAAAATCTCGTGAGAAAGTAAACTTAATTATCTTTCGGGGTTTAGACCTCAGGAAATATACAAAGTTAATCAATGAGAGATTATAATTGGAGTCAGATAAGATCGATAACTAGTAAAATCATTTTTAGAACTATCGATATTACTGGACGACAGGCTTGAGGAGAGCAAGGGTGTGAAAAAAGTTTTTTTAGTGCGTGGGTTGGTAAAAATACAAAACTCAAAGCACAGTCTTTTAAATGCTATTCGTGGTCAAGTTATATTGATAGTTCTAACAAGGATTTTACTGGTTGTCATGTTTTAATACTGACACAAAAACCAATAATCTGTGTGATGATGAATATTTTTATAACGATGAGCTCGATTAATCACCCCATTGGTAATTCAGATTCATGCTGTTTCCAATATCGTTTCTGACACCATAAACGCTCAATAATACGGAAAGAAACTTCAAGAGGGCAACATTCAACTCAAATATGTGTTAGGTTGTATGCTGCATGTAACTGACTGGATCATAGTATTATCTCTAACTTTACAACTAATAACAATTCTCGAAGTGAAATGATTTCACTTTACTTTTTGAACTCCCTTGTTTTGTTCAGATTTTAACCAGTTATAATTAGCACAAACGTGTGTTACCCCAAGTCGTCATGCCAAATTTAATAAAGATTCACTACTTCATCAATCGATTCGCCATCCTTACCTGGTACCCGTTTCCTAACCACCGCGTTACTTACTCGGTGGTCCCAGGATATGCGAGCAATGCTTCGAAAATACCTATGATCGAATACTAGTAGCCTACGACTATCGTCTACTCTTACCGGCCAAGTCTCACTGCCATAAAGTAGGACGAAACGAACTGCTGCGCAGTAAACCCGTCCTTTGGTTGGTAGACGGATGTCTCGCCTACACCATAAATGACGCAAGTCAGCAAAAGCTGGCTGAGCCTTCTGTATCCGGGCTGAGATTTCACCATACACCAGTCAGTCAGTCAATCAGCTACAATGTAGGATCAAGCATATATATATGCATTGGTCCAAGTTGCCACACTACATTCATTAGCACAACAATATGAACACCAAATTAATAGAAGTAGTCATTTCAGTGATAGTAACATATAAAAAAGGACCGTATATAAGGATATAGTACAGGAAGAAAGAATTAGTTCGTAGAAATAAAGGCATGAAGCAATTTTATTCTCGCCGTTTAAGGGCAGACAAAGATTGTACACACCTACGGCATTGTGATCGATTCTGAGCTATGTCACCCAGAGTCTCCAAACATTGGTTACAATAATCACGCGAACCCCAAGTAGTCTGCATCTACCAACATGATTAAGACTAGAAGTTAGTGACTTCGAACACTGATTTCAGGTTTTGGTTTGGCCACCCCTTTCTTCTATCCATCCCCAACACTAGTCAGCATTGCGCGTCTTGGTAATCGGTGTTCAGGCATACGTATATCTCGCCTTCAACATAAGTGACGTAATTTGGCGAAAGCCAAACGAGCTTTCTGAATCCGTACAGAGATGTCGTCAGACACCAACCCATTAGGGCTGATCAGACTTCCAAGATAAGTGAAGTTGTCAACGCGTTCAACTACTTCACTCCCTATCCTTAGTTCAGGTGTTGACGGAGACCAGTCCTGAAGCAACAACTTGCATTTAGAGGGAGAGAAGCGCATTCCAAACATTCTGGCATTGTTGCTTAGTGCTACCAGAAGACTCTGCATTTTGTCGGCGTCTTCACCAAACAGGACTATGTCATCTGCGTATTCTAAGTCGATAAGTGGACCTCCTGGAAGGAGATCAATACCCGAGAATTCAGTCGACGAGAGTGTTATTTCCATCAATAGGTCTATGATGAAGTTAAACAAAAATGGAGATAGTGGACTGCTTTGTCAGACACTGTTTGGGATTGCAAAATCAGATGACAGTTTGCCATAAGCTCTGACTCGACTAGTAGTGTTCAAGTAAAGAGCCTTCACAAGGTTTATGCACTTCTGAGGTACGCCTTTCAATGACAGACACAGCCACAGAACCTCTCGGCCTACAGAATCAAGTGCTGCCTTTAAGTCAAGAAAGACCACTATTGTCGAACTCCGATAAGCATTTCTGTGTTCAAGAACCTGACGAATGGTAAATATGTGGTCGATGCAGCCACGACCATGTTTGAAACCAGCCTGATTTCCTCATGTTTGCAATTCACGAGTTTTAGTTTGGTGCCCGATAATTATGGTTTGGATTATTTTTTCTGGTAAGCGTTTTTTTAGCGAGTTAGTTTTCTACGGGATGGGGACGCTAACCCCATGCCCAACCCTCCTCCTTTACCCGGGCTTGGGACCGGCAGAAACCCTACAAGAGCTACAGGCGGATCAGTTCTTCGAGCGGCTGCAGTCAATCATTGAGAAATGCCCAAGAAAGGACCTAACTATTCTGATGGGAGATCTAAATGCCAAAGTCGGAATAGACAACACTGGATATGAAGATATTATGGGACGACGTGGACTGGGAGAAAGAAACGAAAATGGAGAAAGATTTGCAAATCTATGTGCATTCAACAAATTGGTCATAGGAGGCACAATATTTCCACACAAGCGTATACACAAGGCTACATGGATCTCACCGGACCACATCACAGAGAACCAAATAGATCATATTTGCATCAACAAAAAATTCCGAAGGACAATGGAAGATGTGAGAACCAGGAGAGGTGCTGACGTAGCTTCAGATCACCACCTAGTTGTAGCCAATTCAAAACTGAAGCTAAAAAAGAACTGGACAAGTGGACAAACAGCACTATAAAGGTTCAATACAGCCTTCCTTCGAGATACTGACAAACTCAGTGAATTCAAGATAGCTCTCAACAACAGGTTCCAAGCCTTACAAGATCTACTGAAAGAAGAAGAAACTACTATGGAGGACAACTGGAAAGGCATCAAGGAAGCATTAACTTCAACGTGTCAAGAGGTTCTCGGTCTAAAGAAATACCATCATAAGGAATGGATCTCTACAGAAACAGTGGACAAGATCAAAGAAAGGAAGAACAAGAAGGCAGCAATAAACAACAGCCGAAGACGAGCAGAGAAAGTCCAAGCACAAGCTGAATACATAGAAGCAAACAAACAAGTGAAGAGGAGCATTAGAGCCGACAAGAAGAAATACGTTGAAGAACTAGCAACGACGGCAGAAAAAGCTGCTAGAGAAGGAAACATGAAACAGCTTTACGATACAACGAAGAAACTATCAGGGAAATACAGTAAACCAGAGAGGCCGGTCAAAGACAAAGAAGGCAGGAAAATCACCGAAATTCAACAACAGCGTAATAGATGGGTAGAATACTTCGAGGAACTCCTGAATAGGCCGGCTCCAATGAATCCACCGGACATCGAAGCAGCACACACAGATCTTCCTATAGATGTCAACCCACCAACTACGGAAGAAATTAGAATGGCCGTCAGACAAATCAAGAACAGGAAAGCAGCAGGACCCGACAACATACCAGCTGAAGCACTGAAATCAGACATCGAAGCAACCACAAGCATGCTTTATCTTCTATTCAAAAAGATTTGGGAGGAGGAACAAGTGCCGATGGACTGGAAAGAAGGACACCTCGTCAAGATTCCAAAGAAAGGAGATCTGAGCAAATGTGAAAACTACAGAGGCATTACATTACTGTCAATACCAGGGAAAGTCTTCAACAGATTGTTGCTGAACCGAATGAAGGATACAGTATACGCCCAACTTCGAGATCAACAAGCTGGATTCCTTACACATAGTTCCCTTTATTATTTTAAAGAGAGTAAGAACAAAGGTTGGTGTAGAATAATATGAATTCATTTTATTTCGTTAGGTTCTCATCAGCTGCTTACAACCTAAAATATTTGAAACTCAACGTTATTATAGATATTGACATACTTATACAACAGAGGGCGATGAAGGATGAATATATGTAACATAATGTGGTAAAGATTTCGTTAGAGTTAATGAGGTCATAAAATTTTTCTTTCGAATATATAGAGTTTGGGAGGGAAGGTTCCAGAAAATTGAAATAGTGATTAGAAATCATGGAATTAAAACACATTAGACGATTTATGTAATGAAGTAACAGAAAATAGATTAATGTTAATAAAGAGAGATATGAATTGAAATTGGTCAGTTATGAGTGATGTAATTATAAAATTCAGAAAGAGTTGAAATGACGTAATAAAAATAAATAAAATAAAAGGGGTGGGGTGAATGTTACCAGGGCAAAGAAAGATTTATTACTGTTTCTTTTTGTATACAAAGATCTGGTTTTAAACGTTTGATTGCTATTGCTTCCGCGAATTTCAAAAGGTTTGAATTTGATTGTTTGTTGATCACCTTGAAGGACTTCAGTATATCGACTTCGTGTCCTGTGTCAAGGAGATGTCTTGCGACAGCGCTGCTAAATGCTTTTAGTCCGTTTGATCTCAAACTGTTCGGAATATGTTCTTTGAATCGGACGTACGCTCTCCTTTCTGTTCTACCAATGTAACTGCTTTGGCAGATACATGTAAATTTGTATACACAGTTGGTGGTAAC